CCCTGAGTCTACTGGTCCCTGCACTCTAACTTGTCCTGTAAGTAGCAGAAGAAACAGGAGGATCCTAAAGGGACACCCAGGTCACCTGCTGCGCAGCCAAGTCACCATCATGCCAGCAGAACTACTGGACTTCTTTGGAGGCCTGGCAGGCTGTTTCCACAGGGGGCTTTTCTCTACTGGAGAGGAATCGAGGAATCCAGACACCTGAATTTCAGTCTGACTAGACAGGCGACTCGCTGGCTGTCTGACCCTGGGAAGCTGTACAACTTCTCCTGCCTCCGTTTCTTTGGCTGCAAGAAGCAGATGTTTCTGCGACTCTAAAGTGCCCTTGCTCCCACCTCCCCCCATGGAGCAAGCATTAAATCAAAACAGACAGAGAACCATTTTCTGGACTCGTTTCAGGGACACTTAGTGTCAGGTACCTGCAAGGCCAGATTCTAAGGACACTGATTTAATTGTGCTAAGAGTCACAAAAAAGAAAACACGTCCCCAGCATCAGAAACTGTTGTTTTAGGTTCCCCTATCCCTGCTTTTCCTTAGACAATGACAGCAAATAGGGGTCCCCTTATGGACCAAGTTTAATCGATCAAGAGGAACACAGAATTGTGATTGATTAATAATGTCTGCCACAAGTACAGGATGGGCAGGGCTTAGGTCTTCTGACTTAGTCATAGTTTTTAATATGAAAAGAAAGCAGCCAATCATGGTGTGAATCAATAACCTCAGCACTGTGGAGTCTGAGGCAGGAGTACCACAAGTACCACAAGTTCAAGACCAGACAGATTGGACTATAGAGAAAGGTCCCCAAAATACTAAAAAGTAAGTAAAGAAAAAGGATGCCAGCCCTGGGCACTGAAGTTACTCCAAGGCACAGAATACAATGGGTTCTCCTTATGGAAGAAGAGAAGGAAGAAGAGGAAGAGGAAGAGGAGGAGGAGGAGGAGGAGGAGGAAGAAGAGGAAGAGAAGGAGGAAGAGGAGGAAGAAGAGGAAGAGAAGGAAGAAGAGGAGGAGGGGGGAAGAAGAGGGGGAGAGGGAGGAGGAAGAGGAAGGACTTTCTGGGTAGGGTTATTGCTAAGCCAATTCCTTAAGGACATGTGGACTCCAGCCAGACCCAAGAAAGGAAGTGTGTAGTGGGTGATCGAGGTGCAAACTGAGAACAAGAGCTGACACAGGGATACTCTAGGGACAGTGGCACGGGAGGCTGTGGGACTGGGAGTCATTCAGAACATATGCAGCAAAGATTTCAGGAGAGAGCAGGGAGCCAGTGAGGTTTCTGCTGCAGAGGGACATCAGCCTCCTGGAGTCTGGAGCGGCTGTATAACTGACCCCAAAGACCGAGAGCAAGAGTCACAGGTCAGACTTGTAACTGATCAGTCGCTAAGCTCCAATTACTGGGTCAAGGGGGAGAAAGAAGATGGGGAAAGGACCAGCCTCTGGGTGCATGTGGTAAGATCTGCACAGTGGGAGAACTCAGGCTCGAGAGACAGGAGCACTGAGTCCTCAAAGGGGTGCTATAAAACTGGGGAACAGGCTGACGTGAGGCCCACACCCAGAGGAACAGAAGAATCAGCGTGGGCCAAGCCCAGCCACCAGTCCCAGGACACACCCTGAGGAACTAAGGAAGGTGATTGTCCTGACAGGTCCAAAGCTTTCCTGCCCTTGGATCTAGCGAGTTCACTTCTAAAACTGAGAAACACCCAAAGAACTGTCTGGAGAAATACACCTACAGACGCTGGCAGTAGTCTTGTCTGCCGCAGTGATAAGTCGGAATCAGTGTGCCTAGCCAAAAGGGGAGGGGTGTTAAATCATGGTCACTACGTTCAAGCAGTAGACCCTAAGCCACTCTGGATATGACCGGAGACACAGGAGACAGGCTCAGTGTGTAGTTAGGTGGAAACAGGCAGAGAAAGTCTACAAGGAAATGATTCCCAAGCGACAGCAGAGGACTGTTCTTTAAAAATCCTACTTCAAAAGGCTGTGAAATGTTGTCTTTGGGTTTTACTGCTGTGAGCAGACACCACGACCCAGGCAACTCTTACAAAGGACAACGTTTAATTGAGGCTGGGTTACTGGTTCTGAGATTCAGTCCATTATCATCAAGGCACAGCACGGCAGCATCCAGGCAGGCATGGTGCTGGAGGAGCTGAGAGTTCTACATCTTCACCTGAAGGCCACTAGAAGACTGGTTTCCAGGCAGCTAGGATGAGGGTCTTAAAGCCCACACTCACAGTGACACACCTACTCCAACAAGGCCACACCTCCTAATAGTGCCACCCTCTGGGCCAAGCATATTTAAACCACTACAGATGCCAAGAGTGTAGCTCACATCTGTGATCCCAGCAGTTTGGAAGCTGAGGCAGGAGAATTGTGTTTGAAACCAGCCTGGGCTGCACAGTCAGTTCCAAGCCAGAGTCAAATCTTACCTCAGGAAAAACAAAAAACAAAAACAAACAAAAAAAAAAAAACAAGAAAGCAAAGAAAAAAAAAACAACAAAAAAAACCCCAATAGGTCCCTGAAACCAAGTACTGTGATTCATGCCTATAAACCTGTAACTCAGAAACTGTGGCCAGCCCACGCCACATAGTGAACTCAAGGCCAGCCTTAGCTACAAAACCCTGGCTTCAAAACAGATAATATCTGTGAAAGAATGAAGTGAACTAATTAATCTGTATCAGATCCTTGGTACGTCATAGGTGCTCAGTAAATGTCAGCCATCATTTGAGTTTGTTGTGATTTGAGAACCTGTCCCCACAATGCCTTGGACTCCTTGTGGCCATCACTGCAGACCAGCTGTAGTTCAGGGCCACACATATTGTGTCCAGCTCATCCAAGTGACTGGGGACATCTCAAAGATCTAGACCAAGTCCCCACCTTAGAACTGACAGTGGGTCTCTCCAAGGCCAGGATAAGAGAACAACCCTCCTGGAACCTAGGTCTACGGGAGAAAGCTCTACCCAGGAAGAGCACATTCAAAATGTTTTCTTTTATAGGAGTGCCAAGAACGGCCATCTTTGGTGAACAGTAAATGGCTTCGGGGTGACCTGTGCCAGTTAACCCTTCATAGGCCAACTCCACTGAAATTTCTGTCTAAATGGTGCTTCTGTCCACAGCTGTGACACTCCACAGCCCAGGATGGCAGCAGAGACAAGGGTCCTTTGAGACCAGAAACAGGGAGCGAGGGTGACTCGACTGCCTTGGCTTCAGCTGCCTCCTTCCATCTCTTCTCAAACCAGCTGGACACTCGGGCACTAGGGGTGCCCTCAAGTGCTGCCATGTCACATTGGTGAGGGCAGGGAAGTCACGCCACCACCGCTATGGAGACACTGACAGGGTTTTGGTATTCTTTCTGGCTGTCTTGTGTAGTGAGGGGTGTCGGTGTCTGCGAGTACCCAGAGTGTGCCCTGTAGCATTCAGCTCCACCCCTTTAACGACAAAGAACAAAACCATCCCCACACACCAGCAGATACCCCCCCAAGGAAACAAAACTGACCTCACTTGAGAACCATTGGTTCTAGCAGACTATGAACCTAGGACAGGCTGGCTCAAACTAGCAACTACTCAGAAAGCCAAGGGGGAAACAAACACAGAAAACACAATGTTGTTGGGGCTGGGAGGTGACTTAACAGGTCACTGTGAAGCCCATGACCTGAGTTTGGTTCCCAGAACCCATGGTAGAAGGAGAGAACTGACTTCTGAAAACCGTCCCAGCCCCCGGCATGGCATGCAAACACACAAATGAATAGATTTTTAAAAAAAAAAACAAAAAACAAAAAAAAAACCCAACATAATGCTGTCATAAAAACCAAAGCTAACTCCAGCGGCTCCCTCCGGAGATTCAATCTGATCTCCAGCCGAGATACAAGTGAAAAGCAGGTATTCTGCCTGCCACAGGTTGACAGAGCACCCACTGGGTAGTGCTGGAGCATCTGGGGCTAAACAGTCACAGAGGAAGCCTGAGACCTGCTCTCAGGCTGCTACTCCAGGTTGGCACATTCAGGGTTAACGGCAATTAGACATCAGTGGGAAGGGCCCAAAACTAGAGTCAAAAACTTCACACAAGCTCCTTCTCACAGCTAACACCTGCCGTTCACAGGCTATCATTTAGTCCCCAAAACCAGCCATTTCACAGATGGGAACTCCAAGGCACAAGAGGAAAACCGACATGGCCACACACGTCCTGTCCCCACCAGGGGCACAGCAAGCAGCTGAGTGGGTGCCAGGCCTCTTCAGGATAAGGTAGCCTCAAGGCTCTGTCCAAGCGTGGGTTTCAACTGGACTCTGCACCGGGGGCTGGTGTTCTCCTATAAAGTCACCTAGTGAGCTGGCAGGGTAGGGCGCTGGGAGCGTCCCCACAAAGGAGAAAGCAAGGCTCAGGTAGCAGTACCCTTTGTGGACTGCAAGGCAAAGGGCAGGGCAGGTGGCATTGGTTTTCCTTCCACTTTATAACAAGATCTGGGCTGGAGGAGGGGCGGGGAGAGAGCGTCAGAAATAAGCTTGGGGACTCATTCCAGCGCTCCTAGGAGCTTCAACTTGACTTACGGAAGAAGGGACTTTTTCCTTTCTGAAAGTGAGGGAGGGATTCGAGCTAGGCACCCTGCCGCTGACATCATCCCCATAATCCTGCCCCGTTCTCCTGACCCCTTTCCCAGATCCGGGGGAAAACCCTTCCATGACTTCCTCTAAAAACGGCCCTTGAGTTTTGCAGCTCCGTCTTCCAGTCTTTGGTGGTGGGGGGCTTTCTTTGATCTGGGATGAGAAGAGCCACGGGTGGGGTGGGGGGGATCGAGAACCATTCTGAAGGGGGAGAAAAATGAAGCCGGGGATGAAGGCGTTCGGTGGAGCCGGAGGGCTGGTGCAGCATGTCCACCGTGCAATAGCAAGCGGTGTCTGGGTGCAATGGGTGAGAGGGAGTTAAGGGTTGGGGTGCATCTGAGGGAGGAGGTGGAGGAAGAGGGATCTGGGCAGGTGAGGAGGGCTGGATTGCGCCCGGGACTCACCGAAGAAGGGCGGCAGGTGGGCCACCGCTTCCAGGAAGGGCCCGGTCTCGATCTGCCGGTCTGCGGGCAGCGGCTTAAGCAAGTGCTCGGCCAGCAGCGCCATTTCGGGGTCGAGGCCCTTGGTGATGCCCCAGCCCGCGCCGAGGGCGTCCGCGCCCGGGCTGTCGCCGCCCGCCGCCTCCCGGGACGCCAGCGTCGCCACTTCCGCCCGCGCCTCGCAGCGAGCGCCGAGCGCCGCCCGCAGGCCGGGGCCATGGAGGACTCGGCCACGCCCCTTAGGAGCTCTACCAATGGGCGCCCGCCGCCGCGCCCTCTCGACCAATAGGAGCCCTCCTCCCCCGCAACCGCCCCGCCATTGGTCTGGAGGCGGGGCTTAGCGGAAGCGCGGGCGTCTGGCACCTGGCGAGCCGCGCCCAGGTTGGAGACTGTGCATCGCTTGTCAGTCAACATGGGGTCCGCGATGGGGTCGTCCTGGCCCCGACCTGCTTATAGTCCAAACCCTGGCGGGGCCTTGTTTCCCAATCCGGGGTCCCCTAAAGGTGCCAGGTTCGCGCCCCACAGCCGGCACCCGGGTTCAGGGGAGCCACAATGCAGCCTAGCTGCTGCGTCCTGAAACTCAGAGCTCAGGGTACCCCAAGATTCCAAGTGGAGAGCCTGGTACTCTGCCCACACTGAGGATTCCTACTCTGCCTCGCTGCTGCTGCGCACTGTGATGGCCACCGAGGATACAGTGACCCATGGTGCTCGAGCAAACCTTTAAACTGAGGGAGATCCTGTCCTGTGCAAGGAGCCGGAGAGTTGTGAGCGAAGCACGGGAAAGGCGAGCAGGGCCTGGGAGTACTAAGAAATGTGTGGCTCACAGTCAGGACAGTGAGAGATGACTAGGGGACAGAAAAGCATATACTAAACCTTGTTAAAATTTTATTTACCCTTCCAGGGGGCGGATAGTAGAAAGATTGATCCAAACTACAGGCACGACCCCAGCAGAACCAGGAAGTCACGGGCGGGGAAAGATTGGACCATCCTTATCTCTGGCATGCCCAGTCACGTTAGATCTCGTAACGATAAGTGCCCAAGCCACCAATTTCAGTTTGTTCCCACCCCACCCAACCTCACCACCTCGGGCATCCCAAGATACAATCTTCCTAAAAGCAAAGATAGAACAGCTTCCCTAGTACCCAGTTCTGCCAGAACCCCACCCACCTTTGGGAAGACTACATTAATTCCACAGAGCGGTAACAGCCTGCACCGGGGCCTCTGGCTTCAGAGGGAATTCTGATTGCACAACCTGCTCCATTCCAGACGAGCCACTCAGAAACCATGTGTGACACAAGAAAGATGATCTTTGAAATAATGGCTTGGTGGCCTGAGACAGGTCTTCCATAAGGGTTTGCGCTGTGTTTTTGAAAATTCATCCATCCACCCTTCCCTCCCACCATCTCCCCATCTGTGGCTCTCTTCCTCCATCCGTTTGTCCACCTGCTCATTCTTCTATTCATCTGAAAGTGCTTGCTCTGGAGTTGACACTCGAAGATGTCATGGGCTGAGGGTGGTGTGCTGAGGAACTGGGCCAACACTGGAAAGTGGCGGGTCACGCATCCATCTAAAGGATACTATTTGCTGTTCACCCCATCGGTTTTTGTCCCTGGGCTGTTAATTTTTCACACCCCGCAAAACAAAGCTAAATCCTAGATTTGTGTATTTAAAACAAAATCACTTTTTACATATTGGCTACTAAATCATCGCATTTTAAAAAATAAAATGGGCCACACAAAAAAAGCATTTCTACCTTTTCTTTCCCCCTTCTTTCTTTTCTTTCTCTTTTATTTGTATTTATTTATAGACAGGGTTTCTTTGTGTAGCCCTGGCTGTCCTGAAACTCACTCTGTAGACCAGGTTAGCCTCGAACTCACAGAGAGCTGTCTGCCTCTGCCTTCCACGTGCTGGGATTAAGGGTGTAAGCCACCAAGCTTGGTTTAGTTTTAGTTTTCTTGAGACAGGTATTGCTGTATATTAGGCTGGAGCCCCTGTACATCCCCTGCACAGCTTGGGAAACCCCATCTTTCCTCCTTCCCCAAACCCTTCCCACAGAGAAGAAACTCCCCCTCCCCCTCAAACCCTCTGCCTTGCCTGCTTGGAGAAAACTCAGAGCTAACATCAGTCCTCCTCTTCATCTCTCTATTTCCAACAACCCACCCAAGTGTGCCCGCCCAGGGGCTCAGTTTCTGACCATGTAGGGACACCATCCCAGCTCCTAACTGGTGGGCATCACTCCTTGCCTTGGCAATATTAAACCCCCTTGCTTTAGCCTGGAATCGTGACTTCACCGACCTCCACCTAGGAGATCAGTGAACTCACCGAGAGCTGCCTCCTAAACCTGCCTTTATCTACTTTTAATCTGGTCTAATCTGGCCTATACCTGCATCCCCGAGGGAGAGAAAATGCACATCACTACATAGCCAAGGCTGGCCCAGAATCAACTATATAATCCATGCTGGCTTCAAACTCCAGGTAAATCTTTCCTCGGCCTCTGAAATTCCACACCATTTAAAAAAAAAAAATAAAAGAAAGAAAGAAACAAACAAACAAACAAACAACAACAAAACCCCATGGTCCTAAATTCGTGAAAACGTTGCAACTCCCATACAAATACCTGGCCATTGAAACCATTCTAAACATTCTGATGCTCATTTTCTCTGAACAAAGATGTTCCAGAAAACCACGGTTTGCCCACCAGCAGGAAACTAATTGGATTGGCAGTCTCAATTTGCCTTTGTGTCTAGGGCCCCAGTCCAGGGTCACATGTGTCATGCAGCATGGTTGTCCTGTCTCTTGAGCCTATCAGTCCGGAACATTCCTCAGTCTTTCCCAGAATCCCATGACTAACACTTTTGAAAAGGACAAACGGTTAAGCTGAAGAGAGGTTGTCTGATGTTTTCTACGCAGATCACAGGTTCTGTGTCTCACCACACAACAGCAGCGTGCTGTGTCCCCTCACTGTACCCTGCAAATGACACGTGTGATTTCAATGGTCCTATATTGAAGTTGTTGGTTTGACACAGTCTCCCAAGGGAGATCAGGTTGACCTCAAACCCACAGAGATCCGCCTGTGTCTGCCTTCTGAGGGCTGGGATCACAGATGTGTGCCACCGTGAAGGGCTCAGATCTTAACTTCATTCGAGTTAGGCAAGGACCTTTCTGCTTGTATCCACCTTTATGCTGGTTTTTTCTTTTCTAAAAAGTAACAGATACGCCATACTTGGGAATTATCACCATAGTGCAGATCTGAGACTTCCATGGTGGCCATCCACTCCTGCTATGGTCTGATTGTCCCAGCTGTGGTCTGTGATAGCCCCTTCAAGGTGGCCTCTGTGTCTGTCTGGCATGTCCCCACTATGGATTAAGTGCTTCGTCATTCTTTTGCACAGAATATTCGAGGCTTATGCTGAAATCAGTCATTTTTTCCAGAGGGCTCTGGTTCCCTTCAGTGGCGTGTGGTATTCGGAAGTTAAGGTCAGAATGTGCTGACGGCCGCTGAGATGACTCTCGGAGGTGTTTTGAACACACGTCGGTGTCTGTAGCTGCTGCCCCTGTGGACACGAGTATGAATGGAAGCCAAGGGTTTGACTCTGGTTAATCTCATGTCGGTCGAAGTCCAAGGGACTTAGTCTTGCCTGTGCTCTTCCTAAACGGGCACATAGCCACTTCTCAGGTGTTCCTGTTGGTTTCCTTGTTGACTTGAGCAAGTTCCTCTTCTTGCTACAACCCGAGAGATACGTCTCATGCCTGCAGTTCCGAGGAGACCTGTTTTCTTTCCATGGTCCCCAGTTTTCATACTAGACCACCTCTAGCCATTCAGACACCCTTCCTGTCCCACTTAGGCCCCGAGACCCATCTTTAGAGCAGTAGGTACCCTCTCCCTCACCACTGACACTTGTTCAAGAATGAAAGGGGGCTGGGCCATGTGGCTCACACCTGTGATGTCAGCACTCGGGAGGCAGAGGCAAGTGGATCTGTGAGTTCAAGGCCAGCCTGGTCTATATAGTGAGTTCCAGGAGAGCCAGGGCTATGTAGATGGACCCTGTCTCAAAACAAAATAAAACAAAACAAAACAAAACAAAAAACCGAAGAAGAAAGTTGAGGGGGTGCTGAAGGAAAAAGGAGAGGAGGGGAGAGGAAAACCACCAGACCATTAGACAAGCTGTCTTTAGCTAGAGGCTGTTGGTCACCCAGTTACCAGAGTAGGACAGACATTTACAGTTTGAACAAACACGTGTTCTTTATTTACTCCTTCAAAAAAGAGACACAGGATCCAAGCTTTACAGCTCCCAGGGAGGCCCCTTCACCATTTTGGGCTACTGGGCCACCGTACTTTGCTTACTTGGTGAGACCAGCTGGACCGGTAGTGGTGGTAATTTGGGGGACTGGAATTGACTCAGAGAGGGTGTTCCCCTGCAAAGTTTCTTCATTTTCCTGAGCCAGACGCACCCTCTGTTAACAACACCTTCCCAAACTGAATCATCGAACCCCGCCCCACCCCAGTGGCATCCAAGTTCATAACCACGGTGACATTTCATCTAAGCCTCCTGAAGAGCAGGATTTGCAACAATGATAAAGACAATGATGGCGATGATGGTCATAGTGATGATTATGGTGATGATGATGATATCTTGCATTTATTGAACACCTGCTACATACACAACCAACCGTGTGGTCTTGGGGGAGTCACTTCCTGTGTTTCCTATAGTTGCTGTCACAAATGTCTTGGTGACTAAAAACTGAAATGAGTTAGCTCACCGTTCTGGCAGCCAGGCATCCAAAATCAGTATCACTGGGCCCAAATCAAGGTAGGCTAGCTGACACTCCTTAGGAAGGCTCGGAGAACCCCATCCTACTCCTCTGCTGGTGCCCACTGTTCCATGGCTTATGTCTGCACCGACCCAGTCTCCGTGTCCATCTGGACCTGTCCTCTCCGATGTGCACAGGAAGTCTCCCACGGTTTTCTCTAACAAGGACATTTATGATGGTGCTTTCATTAATTAGTCAGCTTTCTCTTACGTCAACGAATTACCTCAGATAATTTCTTACTAAAGAGAAATCGTGGAGGCCAGGGAGATGGTTCAGTGGTTAGGGCACTGACCGATCTTGCAGAGGACCCAGATTCAATTCAA